AAATACTAAATATTTCTATACAATCACTCTAAAGAGAAGGGCAAGAAATAAAATTTTGAGACTTAAAATTGATGACAAGGCTTGGATAGAAGTAGATGAAAAGATTGAGATAAATATCTTGAACCACTTTTAGGAGATCTTTTTTACCTCAAATCCAGGGAACATTGAAGATTGTCTGAACTGTGTTGAGCAGAGGTTAAATAAAAAAGATGTAACAATGCAAGAGAGAGAGGTCATTAAACAAGAAATAACTGAGTCTCATTTTCAAATGGCTCCAAGAAAGGTTCATGGACTTCCAAATGTTTGTACAATTAAGAATTTCTTTATTTCAGGGCATATTTTGAAGGAATTTAATTCTACATTTATTTCCCTAATTCCCAAGGTTAAAAACCCTGAGACAGCTGCTCATTACATACCAATATGTCTTTGCAACACAGTTTATAAACTTATCTCAAGGATTATGGTGAATAGACTAAAACATTTCTTAGATAAGCTAATAAGTATAAACCAAAGTTCCTTTCCTCTAAGAAGGGTGATCTAGGATAATATTCTAATGGCTCATGAAATAATTGATTTCATGAAAAAGGCAAAAGGTAAGATGTAATGGATAGCCTTAAAGCTTGACATAAGTAAGGATTATGACAGGGTAAAGTGGCCTTTTTTTGAAGAGAGCCCTTTAGAAACTGGGTTTTGGTGAAACTTGGACAGGAAGGGTTATGGAGTGTGTGACTACGATTTCCTACAAGATCCTAATCAATGGCTCCCCTTCCCAAGACATAAAACCTGAGAGAGGCTTAAAGCAATGAGATCCTCTTTTTTCTTACATTTTTCTTTTGGTGTTGAAAGTTTTATAAGCTAATTTAAATGTATTTATTAATTCAAATCAAATATCAGGAATAAAAATGAATAGTAATTGCCTAGTGGTCTTACATTTGTTTTTTGATAGATGATAGTCACTTATTTTCAAGGGTACATTCAGCTAAGAGACAAGTTCTTATGGAAACCCTTCATTCCTATGAAACTACTTTGAGACAAAAGATAAATCTCTCAAAATCTGAAGTCTTTTTTAGTCGAAATATGCATTGGCACCACTAGAAGATCATGGTTAAATCCTTAAACATGAAAAGAGTGGAGCTTGGGAAATAAAAAGTTCAAATTACTTGAAAGATCTAAAGCAAAAACTAATAAATGGCATGAGCTCCTTTCCCTACTTTTTCCTTCAAACCAAACATAGCCTTATTGTTTCAATGCAACTCTCCTACCTAGAAAAGCTTGGAGACTTTGCACAAAATAAAATAACTTATGGGCCTAGATTATAAGAGCTAAATACCTAAAGGAGAAGAGCTTCCTATATGCTAAGGCTGTGTTTGGTTGCAGTGCAATTCTATTTGCGCTAGTACGCATGCATGAGAGTGCAAATGAAAAAACTGCAAATTTTATTTGGGTTTTACTTTGTTCTGCTTCATGTCTTAATTTACTTCATTTGTAATACAATCAAACAAAATAAGCTAAAATTTGAAACAAGAATAAGTCAGAATTTACACTCAAATCATTTGCACTGCCACAGTTTCACATCAGTACAAATTTATTTGCATTGCAACCAAACAGCCTAAACTTAAAAAAAAAGGGGTCTTGTGGTTGGCAAAGCTTGGTACCTGGCATAGAAGTGCTTTGCAAAGGCACCTGTTAGGCTATTAATTCTTGGACAGTTGGACTGAAGTTAAAGTGTGGGAAGAACCACGGTTGCCAAAGCTTCATGGATTTAGAATAATGGGTCTCATAATTAAGAATCTGACCATGGACAAAGTTAACAACTGATGCTTGAGTCCAAGAGAGGGTGGAATGAGTAGCTTATTTGAAGCATGTTTTTAGAAAATGTGGCTAAGAATACCTAAGTATCCCTTTAGCCTCGAACACTTGGAAAGATAAGCTAACTTGGGTGCTAAATGAGAGTGGGAAATTCTCAATTGAATTGGCTTACTATGTTGCCAAGCAGTTAGTAACAGATTGAACTACTAGGAGGGAGAACATTAGGACAAGTCCAACTATGAGTACGAGCCACTAGAAACAGATCTGGAAACTGAAACTAAACCCTAAAATTAAAATCTTCATCTGGAAATGTTATTGGAATGGTATAATTGTTAAAGAAAATTTAGTGAAGAAAAAAGGTATTGAAAACTCTACCCTGTGCTTGACTAGTTTGGAAGTGCTTTGAATTGTAAAACATCAAGTTTTGGTAATCTGGATTCTTTTGATTTATGGTTAGTTCTTGAATTAATAGTTGCAAAAGTTCTCTTAAAAGTTCAGATTTTTCTGCTAAAATATTCTTTACTTCTCATTTGGTTCATTTGGAAAAACAGAAATAAATTTATATTTGATGGAACTGATCCAAACCCTAAACTCACTATAGATGTTGTTGCTAGGATGATGAAGGAGATGGAAACGATTTCCCCCTCAAACCCTCAGAGTAGCAAGGATTCCAGCCTTTTTTTTGGCAGCCACCCTCCTCAACCTATGTTAAAATCAATATGGATGAGAGTTTCTTTTTTTTTCTTTTTTGTCTGTGGCCTGGTAATGGTAGCTTTGGTGTGATTATATTGCAAGGTATTACGGGGGCTCAACCTTAGCAGTTCTTTTCGGTGTGATTATAAGGTCATTATTAAATACATGGGGCTCGCATCTTTTACAATAGAGTCCGTGAATTTAATACTGTCGTGAAACCTCATCATTGGTTCCACAGCCCACTGAGTGACTAAAGCGTTCAGCTAATCCAATATATTTGGCCTGAATGTTGAAAAGAATGCATTAACCAGTTGTTTGGTATCATTTGGTGAGTGTGATATGATCTTATTGGCCTAGAGATCTTTATTATGAACCATAGAATGGTATCTCGAATTTCTACCCATGTAACATAACATGGATCTAAACCACAACTTGTGCTATCCACAGCCATATATCAACATGAATCACTCCATCTCAGGCAAACAAGAGGATGTGGTGGCCACTTCCTAAAGTGGGAATGACACAGACAAAACAAGCAACAGTAACCAACCCTCTCAGCCTTCTGGATCGATCCCCAAGTTCTGAGGTTCTACAATCTGAAAGCCCAAATGCAAACTCATCGAAGGAGGCCTCTGGTGGTGGATCAAGTCTATCGGGATCAAAGGTGACTAGCATGCACTCTAGAGGAGATTTTGTTCATTTTCAGATTGATCGTCTCCCTGTGCCCATCTACTTTCCACTTGGGCTATATTTGGTTTGAAGGAAAAGGTAGAGAAAGAAAGAGAAAGACAGGAAAATCTATACAAGGTTTGTAAAGGTAGTTTGTAAAGGTTTCCTTACCTTTCCTTCATTTCCATGCATTTTCCTTTTCTTCAAACCAAACATAACCATAGATATCACTGATAGTGGTTAGGGAACTAGATCCACCCAATACATCAATAACATCTAATGATACAAAAGGACTCCTATGGTCTTCAACAACAGAGAAAGGAAAATGAACATCCGTTCTTTGCAGTGGTCAGACCCGGGTTATTTGCAAAGTTTGAAAATGAATTGGATAACGGACCAAATGGTCTGACCGTGAGATCGGACCAATTGTGCCATTTGTTATTTTTGCAAAGTTAACCAATTGTGTCCTAAAAATGGGAGTGTTTATTTGAAAAAATTAGAACTTATTCTAACAAGTTCTCAAAGTGCTCATGAGTGAAAGTGAAAAGGTTCTAATTTCAAATAGAGACAGTATAGGTATTTTCAAAATGGCGTGGCAGGCCAAGAGAGGCCAGAAAAGAAATAAGCACTTGAAAATAAGCCCGAACTTTAAGCCGATTTTTATAAAGTACTTTCATATTTTTTCGAAGTACAACAATACAATATAACGTTTGTATTGTATATTGTATACTTTATGCTTTACTTTTATAAAGTACTTTCGTATTTTTTGAAAGTACAAAAATACAATTTAACATTTGTATTATATACTTTATGCTTTTACTTTCATACTTTTAAAAGTACAAAAACCCCTAAAAGCACGAAATCGGCTTTTCATACTGTGCTTTTGGCAAAATAGTGCTTCCGTTTTCGTGTGAGCAGGTAGTCACGTGTGACCACCCTCCAATAAATTCTCCACCCTATCTCTTCTACTCACCGTTGTTGGAATCAGACTGCCGCTCCGGTCTCAGACCGCTAAACCATCAAAAACCGTCACTGAAAGCACAAACAGAAGTGCTTTTGCCAAACATAAAATGATAACTCTGCTTTAGAAAGTACAAAAGTAAAAATCGTCACCGAAAGTTTGTACTTTGGTATTTTTGAAGTACAAAAGTAAAAATCCATTAAATACTTATTTTGGACTTATGTGCTTTATACTTTAGTATTTTTAAAAGCAAAAATACCAAAATTCTTTACCCCAACGCCTATACTCAGAATAAATACTTATTTTGGACTTCTTTCGCAAATGCCAATAAGTGTTTATTTTTATTAGCCAGTTTCGGACGATTTTCTAGGTCAATTAAAGGGTCGGCTAATTATTCATAAATCATAATCTAAGAACCGGGTTCTAGAAAGTAGAAACCCCAAAAGAGGGTTGAATCCCAGCTGAATGCTCCAACCATCCCGTCCAATACAGGGCTGGCCACCAGCTCAGGCCAGGCCTCCTGAGGCTTGGGCTTGGCACATTGTGCTGGGCCTGCTGGCCTGTGTCCTGTGAAGTGACCACTAGGTAGGTGAGAATGGTTGACCTAAAACCAGACACCTAGTGAATCCATTTCCCTTTGGTTAATTTCCATAAAATGATCAATGGCTCCATTGATCACAGGCCAATTTTAAACATAAGAACCTCATTTGCACAGATTTGAGTACGGTACAAATCAAACTGCACATGCGACATGTAAAATGGCATAACTCCGAAGAGTGTTTCCCTGTTTTCTTCGGGTTAGAATATTCCCCAATTTGCAGTCAAAGAATACAGACAGCAAATCATTATCAGAGTGCAGACGGAGAAATAAATAACAGAACAAATGGTCTTCTCATACATTATTTCACAAATCAGTAAGTCTAAGGCCATTAAAGTTAGATAAGTCACAAAACCACACATTTTCAACATCATTTTGAGGATCATAAACACAACTGAAACACACCTTCATGTCCTTTGAACTCATAAATCACCATAACAAATCCAGTGGGGACTAACAAATGGTTCAGTTTTTTTTTTTTTTTACAATACATCAAGGACCTTGTCACTTTTGACAGCCCTGAGATGGTGAGACTGCTTTGAGCGACGGAGACCTTAATGCAAACAAGCCAAGAATGATTTGCCTAATAACAACCAAATGGTGGTGGGGACCATCCCTTGACCGAAACCTGTTGCAGTAACCAGAGATAGCACTGCAACAGAGCTCCTCCATTCAGTTGCAGCAAGGATGGGGTTGTTTATGTGGGATGATGCTCAGCTCTCGAGCTTGCTGACTGTTTTCTTATCAGAGCTCAAACAAGCTGATGATACAACTCGTACAACCCCATTTGTCACCTTGCATTTAAACTTTAAGGAGGTTGCAACAGCCATTTGCTGCTGCAACCCATTTGTTGGGTATCCCAGTTCCCTGTCCACTATCAATGATATCTGAGTGGAAAGTAGATGGACGGAGACGATCAATCTGAAAACAAACAAAATCCCCTCTAGAGTACATGCTAGTCACCTCTGATCCTGATAGACTTGATCCACCACCAGAGGCCTCCTTCGATGAGTTTGCGTTTGCACTTTCAGATTGCAGAACTTCAGAACTTGGGGATCCAGAAGACTGAAAGGGTTGGCTGTTGCCTGTTTTGCCTGTGTCATTCCCACCCTTTGAACTCTTTGTGTTCAGGAAGCGGCCACCACATCCTCTTGCCCGACGCATTGCATGGAGATGGCGTGATTCATGCAGATATGGCTGTGGAGCATAAAATTGTGGTTCAGATCCATGTTACATGGATGGAAGTTTAAGATACCATTCTATGGTTCATAATTAAGATCTCTACTCTAGGCCAATAAGATCATATCACACTCACCAAATGATACCAAACAACTGGCTAATGCATTATTTTCAACATTCAGGCCAAATATATTGGAGAATGGTCCAGAAAAATCCAGTCAGTAGGCTAAAACCCCCAATTGGTTGGAAAGTGCACATGCACCACATGCATGAAGGCAAGGGTGGATAGAAACTGCTCCTGTTCATTTCTTAAGAAAAAGGCATTCTGACACAAAAGATGGATAACTTTTCTCTTCAAATTTCTGGAAAATCAAGAAAGTTAGCATACAGTACCTTCCGAACTTTGATCAACTTATTCTCCATCTCTGCCTTTGCACGAGACTTCCTACGCCTTAGTATTCCATGGTACTGCTTGGCATTAACATAGATGGGTCCATCTTCTGGCATATTCAGTGGCAACATCACCCGACCCTGATCCATTTTGAAATTGAGAAACCATAATCAGCTGTTATGCCTAGACATTAAATTTTAGTTGATTAATGCATTTTAATAAGTAATAGAGGTTTCATTAAAGCTAGAGATCTGTTGAAATGCTGTATGGTTGAAAAGAAAACTCAAGAAGCAGAGTTATATTATAAAAAAAGAATGTAAACCAAACAAGGGAAGAAAAAACTCATTCAGCCACTCAAACAATTAAAAGGGACACTACAATGTTGGTCCTGGACATGAAAGTGCTCTCAGAATCGAACCCCTGTTCTCATGCTTGTGAGAATGAGATTTTACCATTGCACCAAGCAATGGCCCCTACAATTGAACCCATATCACTATCTCTAGCCAATGTTGATATTTATGATTTATCAAGGCACCATTTTACAAGTTCATTTTTCCAAGCAAAGGCCAATCTGCTAGTGCCATGCCATCCAAAACCAAAACCAAATGCATCTTAGATGTACAGAATTAATGGGCACACTGTCATGAACAAACTGGTTTTAGAATGTAATTTATACTCCACCTTTCACATCCCAACCTGATGCACAAGTATGTTTCATCTATGGTGTAAAACAGACAGGAACTGAAATGTTTCCCTTGTTATTTCATAGCACAATGAAGTTGCAAACTAGCAGATTGAATGAGATCTCTAACTGCATTTGGACTAATTTTATGAGTCTATGATCAAATTGCAATTTACTGGTGAAATATGGATAATATGAAGTAATCTGCAAAATATAGACCTGTTTGATAGTTAAGATAGTTTATTTAACATAAAAGATAGAGAAATCTAAATTGGAGTCCCATGGATCCAGTGCGATGGCCTATACCACATGGATTCTCCTTTAGTCATAATTACATAGTTTTAGTTACTTGACTAGTATTACATTATGAGGATTAGTATTCTTAGTTAAGAACCATTTGATAACAGCTGAAGTGGCTGAACTGAATGCCTTGTGTCTTTGTCTTCTAGTGAATAAGTTATTAAGGAGGTTGTGAGATCCTTAATGATTGAAGCTATAAGTTGGATTGTTACGAAGTCTCAAATATTTTTATTATTTAATTATTTTATCCACTTAAAGACAAAATAATAAGTCATTTAGTTCAGTCACTTTAGTCATTTTCAAATGGTCACCTTCCCTTAGTAAGTTACTTGGATGATAACTTTATTTGTGCAGTTAACTTTTCTCAAAAAAAAAAGAAAAGAAAAGAAAAACTTTAATTGTGACCTTTCTTTAAAATGTCAAAAACTTGACACTGGGTACAACTTAACTCATTTAAATTCATATAGGCATGACAAAATTTACAAACACGTCAATCTATGATAACAATCCTGCAAAGTTTTACTCATTTTGAAATAGACAAACAGTAAATTTTGTCAGTAAGTATGAAGGGGATAGAATGGTGTGATGGAGCTGATTAAATGAAATCAACTTCTGAAAAAAGCTGAAACCTTTCTGTACAGTGTGATCTATGTGATTTCTTGGTGGTGATTACATTTAAAGTCTTTGAATCTGATTCTAGTTATTGTTCAGAAGGAGATGTCAAACTCTTTTTGTTCCTCTTGATTTTCATTGATTATCATATGATTATTATTATTTTTGATAGGTAACAAAACTTTATTGCTATTTATTAGAAAGAACAAAGTCATTCAAGGCTTACGAACCCAACATATAGGCTAGACTAGCCACCTATCCCATATTTATAGTATTACATCTGAGCCTAAACATTTGTTCCTTATGTACCTCTTGTTTGTGCAAAGCATCACCCATAGCATTTGCTGATTTTTGCACCCATTGAAAAGTTACAATGGCTTCCCTAGCCTGCGAATTTGTCTCCTTGATTACTTGTCTATGCCGCCACATTTCCTTTCTGTTCTTAAGCCAGCTAATTGCAACTTTAGAGTCCCTTTCAACTACGATATCTTTTAAACTCAATTGTCTTGCCAGCCTCGATCCTTGTAAGACAGGTAGAACCTCAGCTGTTATTGAGTTCCCACATCCATAGGTCCTGAAAACAGTGCTATAACCAATCCATTCTATGCTTCCACATTGCCTTGCTATTGTTCTTAAGCCAGCTAATTACAACCTTAGAGTCCCATTCAACTACAATATCTTTTAAATTCAATTCCCTTGCCAGCCCCAATCCTTGTAAGACAGGTAGCACCTCAGTTGTTATTGAGTTCCCACAACCAATAGGTCCTGAAAACCGTGCTATAACCAATATTCTATGCTGTCACACTGCCTTGCTATTGCTCTTAAGCCAGCTAATTACAACCTTTGAGTCCCCTTCAACTACAATATCTTTTAAATTCAATTGCCTTGCCAGCCTCGATCCTTGTAAGACAGGTAGCACCTCAGCTGTTATTGAGTTCCCACAACCAATAGGTCCTGAAAACAGTGCTATAACAAATCGATTCACATCATTTGATTATCTTTTCTTGACTTTATCCTCTTAGGTGATTGTACATGTGTTCCACAACCCTAAAAGAGGCTGGCCTGCAGCTACCTCTCCCACATTTTGTTCACATTGCATTTTCCATTAGATTTCCCTAATACAACTGCAGTCTGACAACCCCTTTTTTTTGGCCATAGACACAGCTTGCTTATTTTCTAATCTGTGGACACCTTGCTTCTAACTTGCGAATGCATAAATTTCTTTCATAATATTCCAGGAATTGCCATGTTCCTAGCTTGTTTTTTAGCCAGCTCACTAACATTTCTGAGTTACCTTCCACCAAAATATTTCAGATTCAATGATTTCCGTATCAGCAACCCTTATAGTACTGCCATCACCTCAGAACTTGCTGAGTTCCCCACTGCTATGGGACCTGAGTAAGTTGCCAAAATTTAACCATAGCTGTCTCTAAAAACTCCTATGCCTGTTTTCCTTGGGTTGCCTAGGCTGTATCCATCAAAGTTGAGCTTCATTGATCACTATTCAGTGAATTCTTGATTTTTATGTTTCATGATTATATTTCTTTTGGTAGGTTAATGGACTATACAAGGGAGGTAGCCCTCCCCCAACCCTGATGCAGGATTTGGTCCCAGGTCTCCACTACAACCAGCAAGCCAGCTGTTACCTTCTTATTTATGTTTGAGTTCTTGAATCTTCTTTCTTAATTCTTTAATGTTAACTTTAGAATCTCCAGTTATGTCATCTTAATCCTTGATCCTGAAACTTGTTTTAACTACTTATCACCTCTAATTGACCTAAATACCTAATATATATATATATATATATAGATAGATAGAAAAAACAAATACAACCTGATGAAGAGTTTTCCCAAGGCAAAACATAGAAGTCCAAGACCAAAATAGATAACAAGACTGTAGACCAAGCACTCTTAACTCTCCTATTTCTTTCTCTACAAATAATCCAGCAAGCAGAATAAGGAATTATTCTATAGAAAATCTTGGCCCTTACTTCCAGACAGTCCTAACCTATATTAGCCAATTCTCCCTACTTGAGCCAGAAAAAAGATAATATTGATCATGCATTTAGGGTCTAATTCAGCCAATTGTTTAAGTTTTGTTGTGCCCACATAAACTAAAACAATTGGCAATTGAATCCATTATCTACACAAATGTAGATTAGATAGTTGATTGGGCCAAAAGAAAAGAAAAAGGAAAAAGAAAAAAAAGGAAAAAGCATGTTTCTGTTTCTCATATTTCTTCAAAATTTCTGGTTTTGGCCAAGCAAGTTAGTTTCTAGAAGGTGAATACTGGCTTTGACAAGAAGATTCTTTCAAACTCAATAATAAGAAATCCTTTCACTTGGACACAGTGTTTTACAAGGCATGCCTAGGCTCACAGATGAGGCCGATTTTGTGGGTGTCCCTCACCTGAACATTACTATGTAAGTGCACCTCACCCGACTTCTTGCTATATTTGATAAATTAACCTTGAATTTGATTTTGAATAGGTCCCAACTCAACTATGCCTTGTCACAACTATAAGGGATCAACTCAGTAATTTAAAAGGTTTGCCTCAGGCGTGCCTAGGCACACAGGCAAGGTGCATATTAGGGTATGCACCTTGCCTAGGTCCCAGGCGGAGTATTTTCAAAAGACGCACACCTGGTGTGCCCTTGCACTTCAGCCCAAGCATGCGCCTTTTGAAAATCTGTGTATTTTTCTCTTTTCTTTTTTTTTGTGTGTGTGTGTGTTTAGCGGCTGGACCGGGGGCAGAGCCCCCAGGCCCCCAATCAAGCCCCTCAAGGCAAGCCCAAATAAGTCCATACTAGGGTCTTCCCTATGACCGGAGCTCCAAAACCCCCATATTTTCCAATGTTGCTCATTCATTCATCCTAATAAAAGATATTTTTAAAAGATACTTGAGGTTATAAAACCTTATTTTATAGGGATTAAGAATTTAAGACCCTAATATGTACTTGTTTGGGCTTGCCTCAAGGGGCTTGGTACAAAGGCCGCTTGTAGAATCAAAGAATGCATAAGGCTTAACATCATATTAGCTATTTGAAGTAATGCAATTAGGAAAAAACTAAAGATATTAAGAACTTACATGCTTGAATATGTTTTATATGTTGTGCTTAATTTTATTTTTAACATTTTAAATATGTTGTACATGTTATGTTTATGTATTTTAATTTGAGATAATAGGTTTTTTAAAGCATTTATTTTAAAATTTAAGTTTATATTTTTAATTAATAACTTGTTTAATATTTTAATAATTTGCATTTTTTGAGTTTTTTTGGATTTTTTGAAAATTTTGGCATTTTTTTGAATATTTAGATTTTTTTTTTTGCATTTTTGCACCTTGCTTCAAAAAAGCATGCGCCTTGCCTTGTGCCTTGCACATGAGGTGCAAAATGGCCCTTGTGCTTTTTTTGTGCCTTTCGCTTTTAAAACACTGGATCAACTACAGGAATCCTGTTATGCCTTGTGCCTTGCACCTCAGGTGCAAAATGGCCCTTGCGCTTTTTTTGCACCTTTCGCTTTTAAAACACTGGATCAACTACAAGAATCCTGTTATGCCATTCAATTTAATTTTGAATAGGTAATTTACTATATTGTAGGTTGTAAATGTGATGTTTAGAGTACTAAAAAATCCCTAAATAGGACTTCAACATACAAGGATACAAGCTTTTTAAAAAATGATTTTCTAACCAATTGAGCTAATGGATTTCTTTTAAAATATTCTATTTTTTCAGAGTTTAGATTTGCATATATGCATGCATGCATATGTATGTATGTATTTGTGTATGCATATGCATATGTATATATAACCATATTCTGGTTAATAATATACAAATAAAATGTGTTAGGCAAGTGATGCTAACAAAACCAATGATTCAACATAGAAGATTTAGGACCCAATATGTTTACAACATATTCGAATATGTTGATACAGAATAAAAACAGGACAAAGTTTTACTGTTAGCAGTTGCTACATTCTCATTCATTTTGAAATAAGTAATTCCTGAACGATGGCAAGAACTAGAGAAAGAAACTAACCGTTGGTTGAGATCCATAAGTTGCAAATATGCTATAATATTGATCCATATAAGGGTAATTTGCACAAACCTACAGATAGCAAATGCATCAATAAGAAAAGCAATCCATAAGCATATCAGTACATAAAAACCAATCAAGCACAATTAAGATTTTTCTGGAGTAGGCCAATTCAGCAAAATGCCATGACAGAGGAAGGAAGGTTACCATAGGCTGACCAAGCCCCAATTCAATACACGCTTGATAATCAGGTGGGAATGATTGTCGAGAAATGGCTGATGGAATTTGCTGAGTTTTTTGCCCCTTCCCAGAATCCCTGCTATCACCTGGATGAGAAACTTTAAAACTAGTCACATTGGAGAATTCTAAACGGGGAAATAAAAATGAGAAAAAAAATAACATATGACAAAACAGAAACTTCTCAGAATCACATGGTTAAACTTATGTAGGCAAAACTCCCACTAAATTCAAGCAAGGAATGAACCGAAAAAGGTTTCCTGATAAAAGCATATTTACATGGGAAGCAGATTTCCTTGTAATTGTAGTGTGGACTTTCTGACAGTAATACACCTATTGTTTTCTTCTTCCCTTGGTCATGATACATCAAGAGAAGACTTCCTTAAATAATCAAACAATAATTTCACCTAGACCTATTACAAATGTACTGTTCTTGTGATTGATCATTACATTGAGGAAAACCTAAGCAGGAAAATTTTCCACTGCCAAGCAAAATCTTTTTGTTATAATACATGCTTAAAAGAAAAAACTAGAGAAAACCAGTGGCACCAAAAAGAATATCTTAAAAAAAACTTCCTTGTGACTAACAGAGTAATGGTTTCTTTATCTGTCAATACTAAATTCCTTTCTTTTTTTTTTCTGAGAAAAGGTAAGTTAAGGATTTTATTAACCAATAGCATTGTACAACAAGCCCCCGGGAAAACAAGGCAGGAACAAACCAGCATCCCCCACCCAAGCGAAGCACCAAATTAAAAATTCTTGGAGTTCAGGAAGAGAAACATGTTCTGGTGCCTGAACTCATTAACACAGAAACCCAGGACCCTACTTTACCCACTGTAATGCTATTTAGATCTTCAGTGTTCTTTCTTTTGCTGCTAAAGAGTACTATTTCTCTCTACCCACACAGTCCCAATCACTGCAGCAGGAACAAACTTCCAAACACACTTCCCATTCTTAAAGAAGCTCACGCAGGCTCCAACCCAACAGAAAATCCTTCACAGATCGCTGCATTCACAGATCACCAGGCAATGGATGCAATGATGGTCAACAGACCCAACCACCTGGCCACATAGGCCACAGATCAAATCCTGGATCTGCACACCCCTTCTCATCAGGTTTACCTTGGGAAGGCATTTTCCATACAGCAGCCCAAACCAAGAAGTTCAGCTTCAAGGGGGAGATTGGGTTCCAAATTTTCTTAGCCAGAAAGCACAACTTATTAGATCATCTAGTCTGAGAGGAAATAACTTGACAGAGAATTCTCCATCCTTATTCCACCTCCATCTCCATTGATCAATCTGATCTATATCAGATTGTGGGGACTACGAAATTCCTGAAGTTGCAAGTATTAGAAAATGTCCAGCAAATGACAGAAAAATCATGGTCTAAGTAAAAAAAAAAATGCAAATATAATATTTTTTTGGATGGATATAAACATTTTTGTCAGTAAAAAGTGCAATTTATTATCCCATCTTCATATAGGATCTTGCACAAATGAATCCATGTACATAGAACTAGAATGAACCACATGATTGAATGGGGTTTCAACTCCCTAAGAGCACACAAGAAAAACTATCTAGTATGCTTATACAGGGAGTAATTCAGGGAAAAAGCACACTTTGCTGAATTCCTTGGAGATGAACAAGCATGAATACCTTTTGCTAATAAGGTCCATTTTTGAAAGACTCAGGCATTTGTTTCATTCTAAACCATCCAAACATATCAGGGGTTCTCCAGATAAAAAAAAAAAGCTTTGATATTACCATTTGACGATAAGGCAGCAATCCTGGATGTCAATGATCTTCGGGATGAAATTACCACAGTGAATACCAGAGTTGGAATGGCATGGATTGAAAACTGGAGTCTAGCTTATCATGAAAAGGAGCTCATTGCAAGGTGTACCCAGATCAAAGTCTTTGAACTTCCCTTTAATCTATGGAAAGAGCAAGTGTTCCATCAAGTCTCAGAAGTCTGAGGAGGTGGTGATGAATGTCTCCTATCTACAGACAATGAGGCTAAAGATCGTAGGCGCCAAACCTAAGTCTATTCCACATTGTTTGGAAGTGTTCACCGGCAAATGTTGGCAGAGGGTGTGGCTGGCCTCGGCAGCCGAAGTGGCGCTGTGGGAAGAATGGAGGGAGGAAGATGCAGATGACATGGCAGGGTGGGAGCCATGTGGAAGAGAAGGAGAGGCCAAGGGGAAGCTAGTTCCGAGGAAGTTTAATTGGGAAGACGAAGAGGAGAGGAAGGAACTTCCTTTGAAGGAAAAAGCTTCAAATAATTTTAAAATGAATCGAGTGGAAGTGTTTAATAGAGGAGCCTCTGATGTTGAAGCTCTTAAAAAAAGGCACAACTTGTGAAGGCAATAAGGTAAGGGACCATGTGTGAGGAAAGTATGGAAACTCGGGTGGGCTTGTTACAGTGCAGCCCAAAGATGTTGGGCTGGGAAAAAAGGGTGGGCCAAACGAGAATAATGGGAATATTAGACTAGTTATGGAAGAAGCTCATGGAATTTTAAGGGAGCACATGATCAGTGAGAATGGGGAAATATTAGATGATACTTTGGTCTTTTATCTCCCCACTTAATAAGAAGCCATTGTGAGGTCATAGGTGTGATTGGTATTAACAGCACGACAGAGGATCTTCTGGGAGAGGATAAAGAGGAGAATGGAGGGGGAAATGCTGCTGGTGTTAGACAGATGTAGGTAGTTCAGGAAGGCGAAGAGTTTCTTCAGTTTGTTGGAAAGATCAAGGAAGGCTCTAATTTGCTCACTGTAGGTGGAAGAGAGGGAGTTCCAAAGAGTTTGAAAGAAGTGAAAGGGGAAGATGAAAGGAACTCTAGGAAGGGAGTAAACAACGATGAAATCTGTTTGGGGAAGGAGATGGAAGAGCATGGTTATGGTAAAGAAGATGAGAATAGGGAAGGGAGCAAGAGGAAGGAGGTTAATAGAGAAAAGGTGTTCCATAGAAGGAGGAAATATAGAACGAAGCCGCTCAAGGATGTTTAGGAGAGGGGGAATGAAGAGATTATAGTGGAGGAGACTCATGAAATTAAAAGGAAAGCTGATCTGGAAGAGGTTATTAGCAACGAAATTGAGGTAAGAGATTGGGGCTGTTTTTCTTAGGTGGAGAAGATTTTGCAATGAAAGCTTTTAAGTGGGAGAAAATTCAAGTGAAATCCTGAAAGAACAGCGAGAAGGAAGTTTTAAGCCCCATTGAAGATTCTATAGAGGCAGAGGGGGAGAAAAATGACAGGCTCCAGAGTGAAACAAGGCCTAAACAACAGAAGAATGCAATATTTGAGCTTGAAAGGATTAATGATCTTAATGGAAAAAGGAAGAACAGTAAAGGTCATCCCAATGCAGTTAAAAGATTTAGGCAACAAAAGTTCAGTAGATCCGTGCTAATCTCGAAGGTGTTTGATAGATTGAAAGGGGATTCACATGGGATTGGAATCAACAAGAGGGCTAAGAACAAATAGAAGGCTTGTCAAGAAAAAGAGAGAGAAATTTTATTTAAATTTCACAAGGGTGGGGTAAGCCTGTCTTGCTTTGTAAAGGGTTCCTGGGCGAGGTTTTGTCAGGTTGCTGTCTATGGGTAGTGAAGTGTTAGTGTGGGTGGGTTAAGGGTCCTGGTTTTCTTGTTGATTTTTCGGGTTTTGTTTTAGTTTTAAGTTTCTTGGGCATCTCAGGTTGTTGCTTTTTTTTTCAGTTGTTGGGTGATTTCTTATAACCTCTTTGTATTCTTCTTTATCACTATTTCTATCTTATAATAAATTTTCTTCTTCATTTATCTTCAAAAAAAAACAAAAACATAGATTAGATGGTTTTGGTTCTCATTGAGTTCTAAGTGATCTACACCATCTGGTTGACAAGTCTAATATGTGGACAGAGAGTTGATATGTGATTTTGACTGGTTTAAACACGTTAGGCTGGGATCAGATTGTTTTTGATGCATGAACAATCTGGACAATTCATTTTATGGGTTACCTTACAATCACCTTTTGGCACCCATATATAAACTCTCATAATGGGAGGATCCCCATCAATACAGTATATGGAACCAAATGAAGATTTGGGTGTAATTCCCACAAACAAAAGCAGTAGGGATCAAAGTACAAGTTGTTCAGTTCATCAATGGCTGCATGCATCTATCTATGAGTTTCTTTTGAATCTGCTATTCTTGATTAGGACAAAACAGAGAGTGCAAGGTTCAAAGATATTGATTTTGTTGGTTCATGTTTTGAAAATGGTTCAGGATCCTTCAATGTCTTCTTTCTTGAACTTTTATTTTGTTCCAAGTTCTTGGTATGGAGGCTAAAGGTGGACTCTAAAACCTCTATTTCAATTCTTTGTTCTTTAAACCTAGGAGTGTTGTTCTAGATTTTTTTTAATAACAGATTACATTTCATTAATCAGGAGAAAAACACCAGACTGCTCACGCAAGCGGGTATCTGGCCAATAAGTACACCAGCTTTCAACAACAAAAGCCAAAGCATACAATAATAAAAAGGAAGAATAGAAAAGAATAGAACAGAAAGGTTGAATTTCAATCTTCTAGAAATTTACTATTCTTAGTAAAAACCAAAATTAGTATTTATAGTAACTTTTGAACTTACTACTTTGTAGTAATTCTCTAATACTATTTATAGTAAAATTGCAATATATTATTTTAAGTATTTTCTGGTCTCCTTAGATTAAGCTAATAGTTTTAGTTATTTGACTGTCCTTAAGGATACCTATGAGTTTTTCTTATTCTGAAGCAGTTAAAAGCTGTGTTGCACCGTGTTTTTTAGTCTAACTTGGAGTATATGAAGAGAGATCTGAGCCCTTATGTTCAGTCCATAAACAAAAGTCATTGTAGTTGAAATTTTAGAGTTGATTCAATAGAATGAGAAGTTTATTTTAGTTACATGAGAATAAGAGTGTGATCTTCTCTCTCCTTTCAGCAAAAGAAATTATTAAATTGTAAATAAAGTACAGTAGGTAGAGTGTGATCTTCTCTCTCACTATCTTTTTTTCTAAATGTGCAATATGTGTTCTCATTCTTTCCATTCAAAAAAAAGTAGGGGAGAGGTAAACTCCCTTCTCCCAAAGGGTGATAATTCCTTGTTCGGCCCACATTTTTTTGGGTTTGGACCTAGGTTTTGTGGTAGGGTTGGGAAATGCATTAGGCCTGAAATTTTGCAGGCTATGCTTAGGTTCTATCTCAGGTGGGATGAACAGGCCTTATATGAAGAAGTGTTGTATCTCATGAAACTTTTTACAGACTGCAATGATGTATACATTCCCAGGGATAGGAACTCCATAGTCCACATTATGGCTACTAGATAGCTAAACAGAACATGGAATTTCATGATCAATTCTGGATTGGTTGCAAAGCCTTTTATGCGATCAACTAATTGCGGAGCAATCATGTATATATTCTGTTTGAATGAAGGTTCTGTTTTCTGTTGTGCCAAAAGAAAAGAAAGGACAAAAAGAAACATAGACATGGTTGTAGGACTGAGTTCCAATCCCTAAAACTATTGCTTAGTAAAATCGAAATTTATAGTAATTAGTATAAAGAGCAAATTACTACTTACAGTAATTTATACAAATTTACTACTTTATAGTAATTTCTGGTTTCCTTACATTAAGTTAGTGGTTTGTTTAGCAGTAGTAGGATTAGTGTAATCAGCGTTATTTTAGGTGTTAAGAGTCTTTATTTGACTATAAATTATTTCATAAAGCATCAGAGTACCAAACCATGATAAGGTGGCAAATAACTCATGCATGAGTTTAGGAATGTGAATTTAAAACATTACGAATTTATTTTTCAAACCCAAATTTCCAAACAGTTATATGATCACTGACCTTTGGGTCATCTATGAACTATTGTTGTTTTCAGTCTAAAGAAATAATCTCCAATATACAGACAATCTATTGATAATCTCTTATATGGATCTGAAGTTCTAGATGATACAGAACCCATGAATTGTATTTTTGCAGAAATAACCACTGACATTAGAAGGTAACCTGTCATTAGAGAAAGAAAATAAAGTTTTGGTCATTAGAGATAAGGAGGTTGTATATGTGGTTGGTCCTCTCTTATGCTTAGTATTTTTGCAGTAACGATTTACAGGTTACCTTCAAATGTCAGTGGTCATTAGAGATAAGGAGGTAGAACAAAAACAGAAAAAAAAAGAAAGAAAATAAAGTTTTGGTTGATATTCTACTATGCAGATTATCTCGAACCATACTACTTTATCCTTCTTTGCTCATTACTTCTAAAATTATGAGTACCAGTTGAATCTTGAATCAAATTTCTCTATGTTTGGTGATACTCTATGATATAATTTGGTATAACTTTCTCTACAATATACAACATGATTATGATTTTTTTTCTTTTGAAGGGCTACACAATGGGGTTTCAAAACATTGATATGCCCTTTCATAATTTATACTTATTTACCTCAAATCCTCAATTAAAGCATGATGTGGTTTAGCTATACTATGTACAAAATTATTCCACCTCATTCATCAAAAAAATTATTCCACCTCCCATATAGAAGAACCAAGCTGAGCTGCTGAGGCACAAGGCAATATCAAAAAATGCTTTATTGCCAAAGTGTCACACTGTCACCTTGACAACAATGCATGTATGCAATGGTTTAAACAGATCATGAGATATATAAATATAGATTCATCATCTAGTCTCCTCGTTTAAAAAAAATGAATAAACCATCATCCTCGTCGTGTAATATCCCCTCAAAGAAGTAAGGAATAATTGGTATGTTATTTGCTTTTTAAATACAATGCAATTGTGCACTTCTCCAAAGTACCACACCAACTTCTAAAAAATATAAAAATCAGAAACTATCATGTCTATTATAACTAGCTTGAATACATATTTTCCAACACAAGTGCTAGCTATTAAATACAATTTAAAACAATAGGAAACCCAAGAAGTAACCAAATTAAGGACTCAAGAATCAAGCTAAAACCCATGAATTGTAGGACCAACCACATGGACCTCATGTGCATCAGGGAGATTTGTTGTTACATAAAACTTCAGACATTGAGTTCCATATGCCTGCTTATAAGGTGAGGTGCTCATTCTAGTTGGTGGTTAATCCTAAGAGAAACCATAGCTACTCAAACATTAGAAAATGATGACTACCTCCAGTCCATGATTTCCCTATTTTTCTTTCAATTTTGGAGGGAGGAACAGAATAGACATTCATTATGAAAAAGGAAAACTGGTCAAATTTTCTTGGTCGATTAAGGAAACTAACAAATCAAAATGGAAAATTTTATAAAACAATTATGTGTCATCTATAGAGTTGCATACTTAAATCCACTTATCAATAGCAACAGACAATGTTTTGATACTGAAAAACAAATACCACCAAGACTCATGCATGCCATAATAAGAAACAAGGAGAAGGTTACCAGATAAGATAGTAAACTGAGCAGTACTTTGTTCCACACCCCGCTGAGCTTGCCGAGAAGCATCTGTTAATTGGTCTCCACCACTGGGATGATCCGCCGATAAAGACTTCAGTTGGCCAAATGGCTCTCCAGAGGCCGGTTGTGATCCAACAGCACTCCACCAGGGCATGGGAGTAACCGGAGACAGCTGAGAAATATGATTACGGGCAATTCCTCCATGTTCTTTGAAACAAAGAGTTTGCATCCTGAAGTTCCTCGAAAGTAAGTTGGGACTATGTTTTGAGAAGCAAGTATATCTCTCGGTTTCAACCTAATCACCTGCAACCAGAAGCTCTCGTGCAAGTTATACAAAATTTTTCCAAATAAAATCCCATCTGAGGAAGAAAAAATCATCTTGAAATCGATTACAGTATGATATAACCAAGACACTCTAGCAGAGCCTTACTTGATCAAAAGGGGCATCCAGACTAAGAGCAAAGAACCGACTAATTAAAAATGTAAATATAAATTTACATCCTATATATCATAAGAAACTTTTCAGCGAATGGGTAAAATTATAGGCACTGACATCAACTTACATGTAAACAGGCAAACCCACTTCAAACCCCACCGGGGAGGAGACAGAGAGAGAGAGAGAGAGAGAGAGAGAGATGTCAATTCACATAGAACAAGCCACTTCACTAGAGGGAACCAAGAAATCTTCAATCCATTAGCTAAAAGAAAGGAAACCCAAATGACAACTCAGACTCAGGTCAAACAAGAGCCTCTAAAAGAAGAAGCATGAGCATGTGAAGAAGAAAGAACAAGCATACAAAATAGATTCAAGCGTCCTAGAGTCCACCAGAGGCTCTCATGAGACATAAGAATTTAGACAATAGGTTGTACCTATGTCTGTACGAGAGAGAGAGAGAGAGAGAGAGCTCACATTTCAGTAGGCGAAGCAGCTCAAGTCTTACGCACAAGCCATAAGGAGAGAAACCCCAATTGGCAGGAGGCCTGTCGGTGTAATATCAAGCCAAGAAGAGAGAGAGAGAGAGAGAGAGAGAGAGAGAAAGAGAAATGCGTCAAACTGTAATGGAACAACACGGCAGCAACCAATGAGCTTCAGCTTTCATGCAAGACCTTGTATTATGTGCAGTAAATAATAAAGTAATGTCTAATACGATTGTTGATCCAGTGATCATCCTCTGGATTATTTGTTTACTTGTTGTACCCTTTTTATCTATTCCAAGTTGGGTTCTAAAATAACAATTCTTCTTTGCAAATTTACTAATTAAAGTGTTGGGACAATATGTGAATGTTAGAAATGGCTAAACATAGCAATTCATAACTGTCTACAATTTACACAATTAAATAAAAACATATCAATATCACATAGAAAGCAATTAAAACAGTTGGATAAGGAATTGACATATGATGGGAGGAATGGTGGTATACGGCTCTGTGGGGCCTATGGATATAGTCTTTTTTTAGCCTCTTGTTCTACTTAATTCAGCCCACAACCCTTATTTGGTTGTAACATGTGTGAAATGGGAGTTGGGACGAGTTAAAGCTATTTGTGGTTCTCAATTTGTTCAAATATGCAAAATTTGTAATGCCCGTGATTCCCCACTAGCTCACCTTTAGCAGGAGTCATAATAAAGTTATATTGCCAAATTTCAATTTACATCCATTAGTACAACCTATGGTCTTATAAATATTTTTAGATGGCACAAATTAAGTATCATTTAGCCAAGCTGAATTTTTATAAAGTCAATGTTTTAGTTGGGTAGATACATCATTTTATATATAGATTTTTAACCCCTAAACTTTATATTGAAACATATTTTGTCATAGATGTCCTTGTTTTTTCTTTTTCAGCAAAAAAACTTTGCATTAACTGATACCATAGCCCTAAAAAAGAAACATCTATACAACAATTATAAAATCACAGCACCAAATTAAAAAAAAAACAGCACACCAAGAAAACCAACAGCTTGGAGAGCAACAAAACCACCACTTAAGACTGTTTGGTTGCAATGCAAATAAATTTGCACTGATGCAAAATTATGGCAGTGAAAATGATTTGAAGCAGAATAAATTAAAATCTAAAACAAAATTAAACAAGAATTTGCATTTTTTACATTTGCACTCCTATTCATTTGTACTAATGCAAATAAATTTACATTGCAACCAAACACAGCAAGGAACAAAAACAGCTTGAACAAGAGAGATTAATCAATTTGGACACACACCAACATGAATCTCCTAATTGCTGAAACCAAACTGAACTAGGGCATGAGTAGCTATATTCATAGAACACCTAATACATAAGAAAGTACAAGCGACATTTTGGATCATGGTCAAGATATCTTTAAGTAAAAAATAGGCTTCAGTAACAATATCCAAACTAATAGTTCTAGCTTAGTTGATTAAACTCAAACTATCCAATTCAACCTTAGCTTGAAGTGGGGATGATATCGAGCATGGACCATAGCAGGCTACAATAAAATTATCTAAGCTATCTCTTATGATTGCACTTGCACCAACGCTAGCCTTATATAGTTATATAAAGCAAGGAAAACTTCATCAACATTAATCTTTACTACATCAAAACTAGGAAGGGGACTAAATAGGTTTAATTTCACTTCTACTAGGCTAAAAAGAAGCATTACTTGGGTGAGGCTTCAGGACCTCTAAGGCATTCTTCACTATCCTATTGATAAAAATCAGGGATTCTTCACTATCCTATTGATAAAAATCAAAGTATCAAGAAGCAAACCATCAGAGATTACATTACAAAAAATGATCTTAGTTCAGCATTTTTAAATGGCCAAATTGGTTATAGCAAAAGAAATCAACAGCAAGTTTTTTTCTCCTTATTGGTTGAGCACAAAGACAACTTGGTGTGGTTGGTAGTTCCTAAATGGAGTGAATCTCTTATAGAACAACTGATGGCAAATGATACTTTGACAATCAAGCCTAAAGTACTTGGGTAAACACTAACCTTGTGGTTTACAACTTGTTGAGAGAAGTGACCTTAGTTTCTACACATGTGGAAGATGCTAAGGCCTCTATGGCTCTGTAACAAGTTTAATGAGAGGGAAGGAAATGATAAACAACTTGAACAAATGAATTCTTCTATTCAATTCAACTTAACTTTCCTGATACAAACTCAACATACATCATGTGGTTTACAACTTGTTGACAGAAGTGACCTTAGTTTTTACACATGTAGGAGATGCTAAGGCCTCTATGGCTCTATAACAAGTCTTGTGAGAGGGAAGAAAAGGATAATCAACTTGAACAAAGGAATTCTTCTATTCAATTCAACTTAACTTTCCTGATACAAACTCAGCCTATTATGTATATAGCTAAGCGAGGAAGATACAATCTAGCACTCAAAGAAAACATAAAAATGAACAAAGGGGTGGTTATAATGATTAGACACTCAAAAGCTTTAAATGGAAACTAGCAGCTTGATGGATCATTCATGCAATCTAGCTTATGGTCAGGGGTTGGGAGTAAACTTTAGTACTTTAATAATACTAGGTCAACACTCATCGGAAGGGCCTGAGTTGTAGGAGCAATGATCTCACAAGGCTTTGGTGATGTGATCTCATGAATGGTGATCTTACTCATGTCGTCATCTTGTCATCGACTTCCTAATTTGCAATCTCACGGGCTATATCATCCTCTCTAGGTTGAGGAGAGTTCAACCTCGAGTTTGGGACTTCACAAATGTCATTTTCCCCAAGGGAATGATACAAATGTTTGACATTAAACACATCGGGAGTTTTGAAATATAAGGAGATTTCAACCCTATATGCATTATCGTTGATCTTCTCTAAAATGTGGCAGGGTCCAAATTTTGTATTCTATATCCTACAAGGTTTGTCTATTGGGAAACATTGATGGAAAAATAACCCATACTAAGTCACCTACATTGAAGGTTATCTTTTTTTTTTTTTTTTGCTTGTTAGCTTGTTTCTTTATAGTAGTTGTTTGAACCCTTGAGTTGTCCCTTGACTCTATTGCAAATATCCTTGTGTTTGACAAACATTTCATCCACCTTAGAAATTAACTTAAGAGGAATTGTGGTTCGGTCAGCTCCAAGGGGCCCATGGGTTGAGGTCATAGACTACTTGAAAATGGGTGAATTGTGTGCTACAATGGAGAGTCTTATTGTAGTATAGCTTGGCAAGAGGCAAAGTAGTATCCCAAGTCCAGGGAGCTTGTTGATCTCAACTTGTATGAATTTCTCCATCTCTTTACTAACTACTTTGATTCGACCATCAATTTTGGGGTGGTAGGAATTGTTAAACCTCAATTCCTTGTTCAACCTTAACCAAACATATTGCTAGAAAATGCCCAAAAATTTTCCTATCTCAATTTAAGACAATGGATTCAAGAAACCTATACTCTTACCACCTCCTTAATTACCAATTAGATAACACAAAATGCATCGATGGCCTTCTAGCATAGGATGGAGTGCACCATCTTGTAGAATCTATCATCCATGGCCAAAATTCTATCAGCATTGCATAAGGTTATGGGAAGACCAAGGATGAAATCCGTATTGATGTCAAACCAAGGATGAGAGAGTATAGTCATATAGGCAGTGGTTGATACAGGCCAACATTAGAGGGGTTGGCCCTTAGTGGCTTGGCAGATCCTACAATGCCTAATAAATTTATCCACATTTCACTTCAACTTTGGCTAATAACACTACTCGACAATCAAGATATAGGTCTTATATCACCCAAAGCATCCCTCATTATGGATCTCTTGCAAATTTAACAAACACCAAAAACAATTAGCGACCTGCAACTAATTATATTTGAACAAATAGACACCATGCAAATGATAGCCATTATGTTTTCCATTACAGGTGGACTTAAAGTTTAAATAGAATCATCTACATACATCCCTCTAAAATAATGAAAACCGAACACCTTTATCAGGAACATCACAATGAAAGGTACCCTTTTATTGAGAGTATTAGCCACCTTATCTAATCTTTAGTTTTGTAGCAAGGAGAAGGTCAACTCCTAGATGTAACTTGTGTATTTAATGTGCTTCACATTGATATGACACTTTGAGTTCAAGTGCTTGAGCCTTGAGGGCCTAGTGGTCAAAGTAGATGAAAGATTCTATAGAGATGAGATAATGTCACCAATGCTTGAGTGCTCAAATAATGGCAAAGAACTCTACATCATATGTGTTGTAATTGAACTAGGGACCTGTTAGCTTCTCATTGAAATAGGCAATAGCTCCTTTGAGCTACATAAAAAATGCTCCAATCCCCACCTTTGCACTCAAGCTCAACAAGATCTTGAAGTTAGGCAGTGCGAGGACAAGGGCATTGGCGAGATTCTCCTTGATCTCACAAAATGTTGCTCACACTACCTCAGTCCACTATAACTTCTTCTTGTTCTTCATGCAATCTATAATTGGGGCCATGGTGGTGTTGAAGCTTTTGATAAATTGCCTATAGAAGTAAGGCCATAAAAGCTCCTGACCCCGTGTAGGTTCTTGGGTGCGAGCCACTCACGGATTGCATAACCTTGGAGTCATGCACTCAAATTCCCTAAGTTGAGACCTCAAAATCGAGGAAGATTAACTTTGGTTGCAAAAATGAACACTTCTTTAGACTTGCAAAGAATACCTCCCTACTTAAAACTAAAAAACTCTACATAGATGTTGCATATGTTCATTAGTACTACTATATATAAGATTGTCATCAAAGTAAACAATAATACATTTTCCTAACTAGGTTGAAAAAGTTGAGTCATCACTCTCATAAAGGTTGATGGGGCATTGGACAACTCGAATGGAATGACTAGCCATTCATGCAATCCTTCCTTGCTTTGAAGGTTGTACTTCTATTCATCGCTAATCCTGATGTGAATCTAATGGTAATCACTCTTCAAGATGATC